AACTTTAGGTATTTGAAAAATAAAATGTGTAAAGTTAAATATAATTAATGAATTTGCTTATGTGGAGTCTAGTCATTGAGTTTTATTCAAGTAAAAAACTTATGTCGGGTTTTATAAGAAAAAAGTTGAGTTTGAAGGGTTAAAGTTATATTTTCAGTTCTTTTTATTCTTGAATAAAATCCAGCTTTCTCTAACAAATTGTAACTTTTATTTTGTAGCAGTCTGAATTTCGTCAAGAGTGTGATTGTGTAAATCCTAGTAGATTGTGTGTAAGATTCTATGAGATCTTTTAGATTTTACTTTATTGGACTTGTGTTACTTGGATCGCAAGATTCTCTCTTCCTTATCACTATAAATAAAAATACAAAGAAGTGAGAAATCAAACCACAGAATTCTCAAACTCTCTCCTCTCTCTCTCTCTCTCTCTCTCTCTCCCGCCAGGCCTCTCCTCTCCCTTTTTTTCCGTTAGTAAAATAGGCTTAGAATACATTATCAACACACTTTTGTTACTGTGCTAAGGATCTGAAGAATTTTGGACAACAATCTTCAACGTCATTCAACGACTTTCATTGTTTCCATCCAATTTAGGTTCTTCTAAAGAACGTAGTTGATATTTTATAAGCATAGCATGAAAACATTCACTATGATACAACCCCAAATTTATTTTTGCTTTATATATTGCCTGTAGGACCATGATTTTGATGGTCGGAGCAAAGCGGATCGAAATATGAATACCTCAGATGTCCGGTCATAGACTCAACAGCCTCCACTACCATCATCCGTTCTGAAATTAGTGGGAGAGACTTCGCTGAGATTGACCATGCTTGCTCCGCAAGATACGAAAACCTAATCCAACAAGGAATCAACGAGTTCCCTATATTTTGGAGTCCTTATAATCTAAGGATTGGCGTGCCAAAATATTCTTGTTTAATCAAAGGAACAAAATCGTCAAAATTAAAATGTGTTTTGGCTGCTTGATGTTGTTCTGGATTTTGAACTTTCCATGATTGGAAATAATCAATAACTAAACCATCTAAAGTATGCTCAAAGTAATCTAACATATTTTGTGAATTACTAAAATCTAACATTAATGCCGCATGTACGCAACTTTTTTACCCATCTCTCAATCGTTCTCTCCCAATCTTGTGTGACACACCCCGATCCAAATATTGGGGCATGCTGGCCGTCACATGAAGGTGACTTAGCCAAGTGCACAATGCGGAAGCAATAGAGTGAAAATACGAGAAAATAAAGTTGACGAGATAATTTACAATAAAAAGATCAGTGAGTGCTATTGACAAATATGGAAAGAGAAATGCAAAGTAAAAGCACAAGTATCCTAGGTGCAGTCCAGAATAAACAACACTACACAAACGATAACTAGAAAATCCTACATGGAGGGTGTTCTGTTAGAACTGCCTTGATGCCACGTTCGTCACCCGCATCCTTGCTACCTAAAACCTGGAGGGGCGCAAAACAGAAAATGTGAGTGTGCAAAAACAAAGTTTTTCAAACCATTTCAATATCAAATAATAACCCCTCTCTGTCAAACCTGTATAATTTCCAAAAAAATATTATACGTACTCATATCTCAAATCATGCATGCTAGAATATGCCGTGTCAGAATATCCAATCAAACAGTATAAGCATCAAGCATGTGAGATAAAACAAGTCATAATATGCCAATAATATTAGTACATCAGCCGGAGTCACCTAAAGTGACCTGTACAATTGAATCTATAGCTCCTCAACCACTATCCTCACACAAGTCGGAGCTAACTAAAGTGGTCTGTACGACAAGCTGGTCTATATAAATACTCTCAGTGCTACGATCATGTTAAGGCCGTGCAATGTATCGCAAGTCACTTACAAGTCGGAACCACTTAAAGTGGTCCGTACAACAGGCTGGCACCTGCCTTGGATCCAAGGTGAGCGTACGGTGCGGAAAGTGAATGATCATATGAAGGCTAGGCTCTACTCTGGCGAAGCACAAACACCGAGGTGCAGGAATATAAGCTATAACTCAATCTCATCATCACCACATCTATCACTAATAACCATACTCATCTGACTTACCTGAGCGTCCACGGTACCAAAGCATAACCAACACAATCATAATAATAATATCGATGATATTCGACATGGCATTTCAATTATAAACCATTTCGATTATAAAATCATTAAAACGTAATTTCTGGAAAGATACCAATCATAATATATATATATATATATATATATATATATATACACTGAAAACAAAAGCCCACTCACTGATACGTAGAAGGGTCATAAGCCCTGAGCCTCACATGGCTATGCTCGTCCTCCTTATAGTCCTCACCTATATGTGAAACAATTATAAAACCATCACTTTAACGCACATAACCAACCTTAGGTAATAACTTCTCATACATTCCTCAATTAAGGTGTTCGAATATACCAACATGCTCTACTCAATCCCACGAACACCCTTTTACAAAAAATTTCTGAAGCCTCACGCGCCCCCAAGCGCCAGCCAAGGCACGGCCACACACTTCTCCCACGCGCAGGCATATGCCTAGCGCATAGATGAAATACCTAACGCTGTTAGGGAATATTCCGTCAATTTACTAGAATATTCCGTTAACTTTAACCTAACGTTGTTAATCTCCGTTAGGAATATTCCGTCGTCTCCTACCTCAAGTCACCGGAATCTGGCGTCGATCGCCGCTCCCTGGCCGGATTCTGGAAAAACTTTAAACTCACTTTTATCACTCAATTCTCAACCAAACTTCACAAAATTTATGTCAAAATGAAGCTTCGGACAAGGGGAAGAAGTTTATATCACTTTGAAGCACCAAAAATGCTAGAATCTAGCCAGAGAAATCCCAGAAATCTGGCCAACCATAGAACTTGTTATCCCAACATCCAAAATCCTTCAAACTTGTTCTTCAAGCTTCGTGAGAAAGTTTTAAGACTCCCTGTGATCTCAAAACTTAATAAAACCACCACGATCACGAGAAAATGAACAGTACCATCGATAGAGTCCACGGAGGTTTTCGAGGGTTCTAAGCCAAACCAAGGGTATGAGTGTGCTGGTTAGGCCATAAGGAACATGAAGAAGGTATTTAGTACCTCGATCCTTGTCAAAACTGTGAGGTATGAAGATGTCTGGACAAATGGTGAAAATGGAAGAAACATCAAGAAGGAAAGAGACAGAACCAGAAAAGAAAGAAGAAGGGTGCACGTGTGCATGTGTGGATGTGTGTGTGTACGTTTAAAATAATCCCGAAAGCCAACCCAAACGTAGCCCATTTACACACACGCAATCACTAACGAGTAAGGGCAAAAACATCATTCTTGCGCTAACGGTAAATATTTTAGAACGGGCTGTCACAACCTACCCTCCTTAAGAAAATTTTGTCCTCGAAATTTATACAATAATTACAACCCGCTAATACTCGTAAAACAAGCGTGGATACATTTCTTTCATCCTCTATTCTATCTCCCGGGTAGCCTCCTCCACCGACTGATTCCTTCACAAAATCTGCACCGAGCGCATTGTCTTGTTCCTAAGAACCTTATCTTTCCAGTCTAGAATAGTCACCGACTTCTCCTCGTAAGTCAAATCAGGATTAATTTCCAATGGCTGCGAAGCTAGCATATGTGATGGATCTGAGACATAATGACGAAGCATCGAAACGTGAAATACATTGTGCACTCAAGACAACTCTGAAGGTAACTCAAGTCTATAAGCTACTTCGCCGATCCCTCAGTGATCTTATACAGTTCCATATACCTGGGACTCAATTTCCCCATTTTCCCGAATTGTACAACACTCTTACACGGCGACAGCTTCAAGAATACCCAATCACCTACTTTATAGGTCCGATCAGTGGCATGTCTGTCTGCTAAGCTCTTTTAACGATCATAGGCCACTTTCAAGTTAGACTTGATTACTTGAATATTTTGGGTCATCTCATCCACTATCTCTAGGCCCTCCAAAACTCTTTCGCCTACCTCTAACCAACACAATGGCGTACGACAGGATTTACCATACAATGCCTCGAAAAGTGACATACCAATGCTTGAATGGTAGATGTTATTGTAGGCAAACTCCATCAGATCCAGACGTTTATGCCATGCATTGCCAAACTGCAAAACAGAGGATCTCAACATATTCTCCAGTGTTTGAATGGTCCTCTCACTTGCCCGTCTGTTTGAGGATGATATGCCGTACTATACAGTAATCTCAAACTAAGAGCTTCTTGAAATACTGTCCAAAATTTAGAAGTAAATCTCGGATCTTAATCATAGATGATGCTGACTGGTACACCATGGTATTTAACGATCTTCGACACAAAGAGCTTAGCTAACCGTTTTAGGGAAAACTTCTCTTGAACTGGAATAAAATGCGCGGACTTGGTGAGCCGATCAACCACTACCTAAATGCCATCATAACCATTTCGTGTACGGAGAAGCTTATACACGAAATCCATGGTAATATTTTCCCATTTCCATTGTGGAACAGAAAATGGTTGCATCCGTCCAAACGGTTTATTTCTCTCAGCTTTAACCTGCTGGCATACAATACATCTGCTAACATACTCAGCAATCTCTCTTTTCATACCCGACCAATAGTAAAATGGTCGTATGGTATGATACATTTTAGTGCTCCCCCGATGCATAGCATATACTGATATGTGTGCCTCGTTTAACTCTACGTTGTTCGGTACAAACATTCTACATTCCAGCATGAGCATGCCATCTGATTCACAAATCCGAAGGTTTTTCTCTTTCCCCTCATTTCTTAGCCGAATTTGCTTCTGAGTTTTATCGTTATCCATCTGTGCCTCGAGTATACGGCCAATTGACTTGAAAGTAAGCAAGTAAGGTTTCATCTCAAGCTTCCACTTCTAACTTTACTCCAGTCGACCTCAAATCAGCAAGAAGATGAACACGGCTTGTGTGAAAAGCATCAATTCTGCCTTGAGAATTCCGACTATGTGCATCAACCACCACATTTACACGTCCCGGTTAATACTCGATTGTGCAGTCGTGATTAAATGACTTAACAGCTTTATCCACCTCCGCTGGCGAAGGTTCAAATCTCGCTGAGTAAACAGGTACTGAAGACTCTTGTGATCTGTGAGGATCTTACATCTCTCACCATAACGATAATGTCTCCAAATCTTCAGTGCAAACACGATCGCCGCCAACTCAAGATCGTGAGTAGGATAGTTTACCTCATGAGGCTTCAATTGTCTCGAAGCATAAGCAATAACCCTACTGTGTTGCATTAGTACGCAGCCAAAACCATTTAACAACGCATCACTATAGATCTTAAAGTTACCATTATCATCTGGAAGTGCTAACATCGGTGCATGAGTGAGACAGTACTTCAATTGTTGAAAACTCTGTTCGCAACTATTGTCCCACTCGAATCTAACGTTCTTCCTAATTAGCCTCATAAGTGGTAACATAATAACGGAAACATCCTGAACAAACCGTCTATAATAGCCTGCCAGACCAAGGAAACTCCGTACCTCAGAGACGGTTTGTGGGTGCTTCCAATTTTCTACCACTGCTATTTTCTGGTAATCTACCTGAATACCCTGAACTGAGATAACATGTCCCAAGAATGCTACTTGATCTAACCAAAACTGACATTTACTAAATTTAGAGTATAACCGATGCTCCCTCAGTTTCTTCAACACTAAAGTAAAATGTCTCACATGATCTGCTTTGGATTTGGAATAAATCAAAATGTCATCGATAAAAACAATGACAAACTTGTCCAAGTACTGGTTAAATACCCAGTTCATCAAATCCATAAAAACAGCAGTTGCGTTAGTTAACCCGAACGACATCACTAAAAACTCATAATTACCATAACAGGTTCTAAACGCCATCTTAGGGACATCATCGCTCTTAATCTTCAATTGATAGTAGCCCGACCTTAAATCAATCTTCGAAAACACGCAAGCTCCTCGTAGCTGATCAAACAAATTGTCGATACATGGCAACGGATAACAGTTCTTAATCGTCACCCGGTTCAGCTACTGGCGGTCTATACATAGCCTTAAGGTACCATCCTTCTTTCGCACGAACAAGACTGGAGCTCCCCAAGGCGAAGTACTAGGTTGTATAAAACCTTTATCTAATAACTTCTACAACTGAATTTTCAACTCTCTCAACTCAACAGAAGCCATCCGATAGGGAGTCAAGGATATAGGGTCTGTACCTGGCAATAAGTCAATAGCGAACTCTACATCACAATCCGTCGGCAATCCCGGTAAATCATCCGGAAACACATTGGGAAAATGCCTGACCACTCTAATATCCTCCACACGGCTAGAAACGTTATAATTCAGTATAACATGTGCCAGACATCCCTAACAACCCTTCTGTAACAACTTCTTAGCTCTTATTGCCGAAATAATATCGTGTCGCATGCCGCTACGCTCACCAACAAACGTAACCATAGGTAGTCCCGGGCGAGGAAACGTAACTTTCTTCTCATAACAATCAATATTGGCTCGATTAAAGTGTAGCCAATCAGTACCCAAAATGGCATCAAACTCAACAATATCCAATAGAATGAGGTTAACTGGCATAACCTCATCCTCCACTAACACTGGGCACCCTGGATACATCCAGCCCACCTGACACGTCTCTCTTCTAGGCATCGAAAACTTTAACTCAAACCCGAGAGGTGTGGGATGAGGTTATGTCAATTGAGCAAATGTATGAGAAATAACCAAATGAGTAACACCACAATCAATCAACACTCTAGCAAAATGACCAAGGATATTTAACGTGTCTATGATCAAATATGGGTTATTCTGAGCATCCTGCACTATGAAGTTATGAATACGGCCCTGAGGCTGCTGTCGACCACCTCGACCTCTACTCGATTGACCACTACATCCAGGTGTACTATCTAGTCTAACCAATTTGTCTCTACGACCTTGCGCTTCTAGAAGCAACCTCTCTCTGCTGGGGCTATACTCCCGAATACCACTGCGATCCGTCAGCTGGATATGGGGTATACCCTCCAGGGTAATGCAGATGTCCGCTATGGTAGCCACTTGGATAATACGGATCCTGAGGATACTGGTACAGCGCTGCCGAATAAGGGGCAACATCTCCCTGGTAATAATAAGTACCCTCACGACCTGTCTAACCATAACCGCTTGGCGCTGGAGCCTGCTGACTAGGAATTAGTGGTGGTAAAGAAGGCATCTGGGGCCTCAGCTGACCCTGTGGACAATTTGCTACATGATGTCCAACCTGTCCATAAGTAAAACATCCTCAACTGCCCTGTCTACACTCGCCAAAGTGTCGGCTGTTACATCTCCCACAAAACGGAGCTCTTCCTTTACTAGCATCCCACTGTCTCTGGCTTCTAGAACCCCTAGAAAATATACCACCTCTACCTTGACCGGTGGCACTAAAACCTCCGCTGGAAGAATTGGAACTGGCTCCACTTCGTTTAAAAATCTACGTCTTGCGAGGTCCTTGAGATGCTTAACCTTTACCTTTATCATTTTTCTTTTGATTGCCATCATTCTCTTCTTCTTCACTTTCACTAGGCATATTCTTAGAATCCTCAATCCTCCACAAAATTTCATAGAACTCCTGATAAGTTTCGCAAGGAGTAGTGGTCGCCATAGAACGCCACTTTTTCTTAGCACCCAATCTGAAACGATGAAGCATCTCAACCGGATTAGCAGCAACTTCCAGATGATAACTAGACAAATCAGTGAATCTTCTGTAGTACTCATTTGTCGTCAACTTCCCCTGCTTCAAATCGGTAAATTCTTGCTTCTTACGATCAATATACTCAGGGGGAACAAACCTTTTCTGAAACAACTGCTTAAACACTTTCCAGTCAGCAACTTCCTCTGGGGTCAAATGACTAACCTACTGTCCCCACTAAGATGCCGATTCTTTACTTAAGAACCATGAATTCATCTCTATCAACTTTTCAGAAGGAAGATTCCCTTGACTTTGCAAAACTAGAAAAGTCTTTTCAATATGCTCAAGCCACCGTTCAGCTCCCTCATATACTTCATGACCCTCAAACTTATCCAGCTTTAGATTATACATGATCTCCATATGAGTCTTCCGATGAGGGCGAAGCGAAGACTGAATCGCATAAGCTATAGCTTCCCCCACCCAACTGAGCTATATCGGGAAAACTAGGCTCTGCTGAGCTACGTGGTTCTTTACGAGGCGGCATAGTTCTGATAGAAAACAGCAAAAATAATTGGAATACTCACAAATAAAGCAGGACTGCCAAACCTAGGCTCTGATACAAAACTAACACACCCCGATCCAAATATTGGGGCGTTAAGGCCGTCACGTGAAGGTGACGTAGCCAAGTGCACAATGTGGAAGCAATAGAGTGAAAATACGAGAAAATAAAGTCAACGAGATAATTTACAATAAAAAGATCAGTGAGTGCTAGTGACAAACATGAAAGGAGAAATGCAAAGTAAAAGCTCAAGTATCCTAGGTGCAACCCAGAATAAACAAAACTACACAAGCGATAACTAAAAAATCCTACATGGAGGGTGCTCTGTCAGAACTACCTCGATGTTACGTTCGTCACCCATGTCCTCACTACCTAAAACCTGGAGGGGTGCAAAACAGAAAATGTGAGTGGGCAAAAACAAAGTTTTCCAAACCATTTCAATATCAAGTAATAACCCCTCTCTGTCAAACCTATATACTTTCCAGAAAATATTATGCGTACTCGTATCTCAAATCATGCTAAAAACGATAAAGCTCAAATATGCCATGCCAGAATATGCCGTGTCAGAATATCCAATCAAACAGTATAAACATCAAGCAGGTGAGATAAAACAAATCATAATATGCCAATAATATCAGTACGTCAGCCGGAGTCACCTAAAGTGACCTGTATGGCTGAATCTATAGCTCCGCAACCACTATCCTGCACATGAGTTGGAACCACCTAAAGTGGTTTGTATGACAGGCTGGTGTATATAAATAGCTCAGTGCTATGATAACATGAAGGTTGTACGATGTATCGTAAGTCACCTATGAGTCGGAACCATCTATAGTTGTATGTACGACAGGCTGGCACCTGCCTTGGATCCAAGGTGAGCGTATCACGTGAAGGCTAGGCCCTACTCTGGCGGAGCACAAACAACGAGGTGCAAGAATATGAACTATAACTCAATCACATCATCACCACATCTATCACTAATAAACATACTCACCTGACTTACCTGAGCGTCCGCGGTACCAAAACATAACCAACACAACCACAACAATAATATCGATGATATTCAACATGGCATTTCAATTATAAACCATTTCGATTATAAAATCATTAAAACGCAATTTCTGCCAAGATACCAATCATAATATATATATATATATACTGAAAATAAAAGCCCACTCACTGATACGTAGAAGGGTCGTAAACCCCGAGCCTCGGGTCGCTGCCCTCGTCCTCCGGATAGTCCTCACCTATATGTGAAACAACTATAAAACCGTCACTTTAATGCACATAACCAACCTTAGGTAACAACTTCTCATACATTGTTCAATTAAGATGTTTGAATATATCAACATGCTCTACTCAATCCCACAAACACTCCCATATTTTTTAGAAATTTTTTCTGAAGCCTCACGTACCCCCACGAGCCGGCCAAGGCACGGCTACACATGCCTCCCATGCGCAGGCACATGCTTGGCGCACGGACAAAATCCCTAATGCCGTTAGGGAATATTCCATCAATTTACCAGAATATTTCATTAACTTTAACCTGACGCCATTAATCTCCGTTAGGAATATTCCGTCAACTTTGATGGAATATTCCGTCATCTCCTACCTCAGGTCGCCAGAATCTGGCGCCGGTTGACGGAGTATTTCGTCAACTTTGATGGAATATTCCCTTGTTTCCTACCTCAGGTCGTCGGAATCTGGCGCTAGCCACCGCTGCGTCGCCGAAATCTGGCGCCAGCCACCGCTGCGTCGCCGGATTCTGGAAAAACTTTAAGCTCACTTTTCTCACTCAATTCTCAACCAAACTTCACAAAATTTATGTCAAAATGAAGCTTAGGACTAGGGGAAGAAGTTTATACCACTTTGGAGCACCAAAAATACTGGAATCTCGCCAGAAAAATCTCAAAAATCTAGCCAACCATAGAACTTGCCATCTCGATGTCCAAAATCCTTCAAACTTGTTCTCTGAGCTTCGTGAGAAAGTTTTAAGACTCCCTGTGATCTCAAAACTCGATAAAACCTCCACGATCACGAGCAAACGAACAATACCATCGACGGAGTCCACGGATTCTACAAGTTTTCGAGGGTTCCAAGTCAAACCAAGGGTATGAGTGTGTTGGTTAGGCCACAAGGAACATGAAGAAGGTATTTGGAACCTCGATCCGTGTCAAAACTTTGAGGTATGAAGATGTCCGTACAAATGGTGAAAATGGAAAAAAAACGTCGAAAAGGAGAGAGACAGAACCAGAAAAGAAAGAAAAAGGGTGCACATGTGCATGTGTGGATGTGTGTGTGTAGGTTTAAAATAATCCCAAAAGGTAAACCAAATGTAGCCCATTTACGCACACGGAACCACTAACGAGTAAGGGCAAAAACGTCATTCTCGCGCTAACGATAAATATTTTGGAACGGGCTGTCACAATGTGGATTTAAATTATCTAAGTTTAATATATTACCAAGTATATTAATTTGTTCTAACCCTCTCAAATATGGAATCCTATTTTTTATAGATGGTTTTATCATACTTTTTTCTATATAATCTACTTTTGCTTTTTCGTTATATTGTTCATTTGTTGGTCTCAAAAATTGTTGGTCAGTTCTACCTTTGTATTCTGGATTTGGATTTTCTATTCTTGATGTGCTATTTTCTTCTGCTGGATTACATTCTGCTTTCAATTCTAATACATTATTACATTCTTTTGATCCTAAAATATGTTCTACTTCTATTTCTAAAATTAAATTCTTCATCTCTTCATCTGAAATTCTGTGTAGTCCTAAATCATGTCTTATATTTTTCTAAATATTGTTCTTCATCTAAATAATCAATATCTTCTATAAGCTTATCTACAACATGATCAAAATTTTGCTCAACTAAATTAATATCTAAATTGTCAAAATCCATATGCATACTCTCATTTTCGATCTCACTTTCATACTCTTCTATTTTTTCTAGTTGCTTGTAATTACTAAACCTAATTGTTGCTTAACCTGTACTAGTTTCATATATTTTTACTTTATCTGATTGTCTATTTCTTGCTACTTGTAAATTAGGTAATGTCTACTAAGTTCCTTCTAAAAAGCTAGTATCTACGGGTTTTGCTTCTATCATATTTACATGTTTACTACCAAATATTTGAACTAAATTTTGAAATTCTAAATTAAACTTATGATTATATCTATCAGACACTTTACCAATATACATTAACCTAATACACAAATTTTTATACTCTCCTATCATATTATAATTTTTTGTTCTTATGCTTACTTTAATATATTTACTAAGTTCATTAATTGTCATAACATAATTTGGAATACATCCTATAACTGCTAAGTTTGTACTTAATACACAAATTTTTATACTAATGTTTTTGTGCCTACTTGTGCTCTGGTTAATCCTGCTATTCCAATTAATATTGTTCCTATGTGAATTTGACTGAAATGTGATTTTCCTAAATGAGTAACTGCTTCTTTACTAATTAAATTAAGTGTAACTTCTTTATCAATACAACTAACTTCATGTTGATTGATGCTACTTACAATTCTACTTCTATTTTCAGATAAACCTAATTGATACAAATTATAATTATATTTTTGTGTTCTCTCAAAACCTCTTCTAATAAATTCTTGTGCTTCTTCTTCATTTGGATAAATATCTTCAGCTGTAACTACTTCTTTTCCTTTTCTCCTGAAAAGTTCCATTTTCCGTTATCAAAGGGATTTATCTTAGGTCTTTTAATATGATTATTTGTACTTATAGTTAAATTTTCCAATTTTTCTAACAAAGATGGTGGAAGTAATGAAGATGCGTTATGTAAAACTTGATTATTTCTGCTATTTGTTCTTCAACTTGATCTAATTTTTCTAACAAAGATGGTGGAAGTGATGAAGATGCGTTATGTAAAACTTGATTATTTCTGCTATTTGTTCTTCAACTTGATCTAATTTTTCAGCCAAACTTAAAACTAATTCAATTATTCAATTATTTTGCCTAATGGGAATATTATTAGTGGCTACTTGTGTTGAAAATTTTGTTAAACCTACTGGTTCTTTATCTAGCTTACTAACTTCTTTCAAAGCTTGGATATATTTTCTGCTATTTCTAGAATTGGTCATTAAACTAATAATTTATCTATTTTATTATGCAACTTATCTACTTGTTCACTCAACTCTTTTTGCACTGATTGAATTTTTTTAACTTCTAATTTTAACTGCTCAACTATTTCTAATGATTTGAGTTCTACTTGCTTAAGCTTACTATCTATGAGGTCAATAAGCTCTTTTATCTCTCTTTTGCTAAGGAAACCTTGGAATATTTTTATTATTATCTTCTAACTGAGATGTAATATAATCTAAATTTTGTCTAATTGTTTTTATGGATTTTTTTGAAAATATTCTACCAACTGGTTTAACAAATGATTATGCTTATTATTTTCTAATTTTATGTTTTCTGCGTGACTAATAATAAGATCTACAATACTATTTGTGGATTTTCTTCACTATGCAAAATGTGATTATGCTTTCTTGATGGAAAATAACAAACTAAACTATTTTGGTCTAAGGTTATTTTTCTTTTTTGAGGTTCACTAATTTCTAAATTAAGATAATCTATCATAAACTACAGTCTACCTTTCTCTAAAGTTACTGCTAACTGGTTTCTTAGAAACTCTCTTTCTTCTCTCAAGTTCTCTAAAACTTGATCTGTTGCTCTTTTTGCTTCTAAAACTTTATGCTGCACTTTTGTCTTATTATATTTACTAATAAATGAAAGATGTTCAAGATAACCAAGATAAAACTTTTGCTTCTTTAAAGTATTGCTAATTCTTTTGGATATATATGTTAATCTTATCTTTATGCTATTATAGTTGGGTTATCTTATCTTTATGCTATTTATAGTTGGGTTCTTAGACACCCAATAAATGCCTAGTAGTTGTAGTTGACAAGGTCTACAAGGACAATAATATATGTTGTTCATACAAAATAAACAAGTGCGATATCAGTTGTGTTAATGATTTCCATTCTCAAGGTACTTTACTATTATAATTATGCTATTAAAATGTTAAACTTGGCTCTGATACCAGATTCGGAAAGCAGGCCCGATTAAATAGTCGAATGGCCATTATAACAACTAGACATAAAGCCTTGCACATGGAACTTGACATGTTTCAGCATGACGGCTACTCACAATACAAGTATAAGGTCTTAATGGTTGAACTCAGAAGTACCCTAGTTAATGTCCAGTTATTTGTATGGTGAGCATTCAACTATAACAGAGTGCTCGAACAAAGTATGATCGTCAATTGAGCAAGGTAATAATATAATTACAATAGTGTTTCCCTGTTTTGGACTAGAAGTCTAATTAAACAAACACACTAAAGAAAGAAAAGAAAGCTTACTTAAGACATGGAGATTGCTTAAATATGTACACTTGAACTTTTATTGATATATAGAATGTTTACAAAGATAGTTGTTTACAAGGAAGTGTTTACAAGGATGCTATGAAGACTACGGATGAAGATGGTGTGAGTATATGGTGAGAGTAGGTTGTTCAGGTGTTGAGATGTTTTGTGTTAAGGTGGTGGTTACAATGAATGGAATTTCTCCTTATATACACTGAATGAGGATACTAACATACAAAATTCTTTATAATTGAATGGTGTGCATTATCTTCCACTTTTTGGCACTATTTCTAAATCTATAAACACTGTTTCTGATTCTGACGGGATCTTGTCTTTTCTTTCTTTTGCTTTGATGAAGGCCACGTGAACCTATGTGAATCCTCCTGCATGGTTTGTCTCCTGGAGCCCGTGCCCTAACTTTATCATTTTGCATTCAATTGTTTTCTAAAGGTTTTCAAGGGTTGATGCATGTTTTGTTTCCCTGGAGCCCTCCTTTGTCATCTTTCTTATGCCCAGTTTGGGTATTATCAAAAAAAATTGTCCTAATGATTAAAAGGAAAGTTTTTTGGGGGTTTTGGTTAGTTTTCCATATTCTTAATAGTATTTTGTTTTATGTTTGTTAGTAATTATTTTCTTTTGCTAGGGTGAGGCCATGATCCTTAGCAAGAATATGTAGTTTCTTTTTAATTTTCTTATGAATTTATGCATGCAAGTTTTGGATTGTTAATCACTGTGCTTTAAACTATCTATTTATCTTAGTGATTTGCGACCATTAGGATATTTAGAAAAGTAATTTGATGAGATTTTGGCGGAAGGCTCTCCCTAAAATTGACTAAGGCTTCTTGTGGTAAACATGTGTAACTACTTAAGATGGACGACACGTCTTAGGAGTTACATGGTTTTTCAAAAGGTTTTCACAAAACTTAATGAGTCTTGAATGTTAGATATATGTTCTATGCTGGGGGTTCGCAGTAGGGCATACTTTAGGAAAACCTAACCTTCAAATTATGCATATGTAATTCATAAGGAATTAAAAGAACCACGTAGGATTTTTAAGGTGACAGTGGAACCCTAGTGCTTTTCCACATTTGTTTCTCAAAATCTTTTCTCTTTGATTTGTTTCCTTTTTAATTGGTTATTAGATGCTTTCCCTAAATTACTTTTATTAAAATTCGTTTTTATTACTTTTAAATTCAAAATCAACCTTTTCCAATCTTTACTTTCAGATAATTAACTAGGATTAGGGTTTTTCATAAGTTGTTTTAAATAATCCTTGTGGAAAATGACATTGCTTGACCCGTTTATGCTACAACTACCTTATTCTCTTGCAAATATTTTTTTAGTGTTTTTATCCCTACTTTTGCAGGTGGTAAAAATCCTTTCATAATTTTACTACAAATCTATTGGGTTTGAGAAGTTATTTTACCACTAGAACAAAAAATAGAGAAAGCCACGAAGACTAAGTATCATATACGGTTCGAGGTAAATCCATGCATTGCAATTCTTCCAATATCGAATTAAATTGTAGAAGAAAATGCTTTTGCAACATTGTGTGGTGTATGCATTTTATTTTTTGGTTGAAAAAGGAGCTCATAACCCAAACAAAGTAAATAATAATAAATTTAGGTCTGGACATCCCAAGCCGATCTTTACGAATAAAACTACTTGAACAAGAAAGAAGATTATCAAAATAATGATTTTCGAGGTTTAAAGCAACAACTAAACTTAAAATTCAAGGTACAAAGGCAGTTACATAGAGATTTCTAGAGATGACAATACATTCAACCTTAGTCAGATTTGTCCTCCCATCTTCGACCTCACAAAAATTTTCCTTCCCTATCCTGTCTCCACAAACAAAGGGATTTGAGTTGTAATTATAGAAGTTACTTAGTATTACGGTCTACTAGTATTCATTTTCACTTGTAAGTGAGAAGTCTTAGATTCGATTCTTGCGAAAAGTGAAAATTTGAACAACCTTATTGCTAATCCATCGTAAGGTTAAGCCCACCCCCCTCCTCATTATTGTAGATAATATCGTTCGTTCAAAAAAAAAAAAAAAATTGTAATTATAGAAGAAAGCTAGTGTAAAATCACTGTAGTGGAACCCCGCAATATTAGTCAGATATATTGCTTAACTACAAGAGCAAGCATGATCTACATGAACAATATCAAGGCACAAGACATGCTTGGAAACGAAACAAATTTACATGAATACCCTTGGTGACCAAAAGCGAAGAGTGCACCATCTCTTATTTTATTTCATCAAAAGCTTCAAGGGATCAATCCTCATTATTTTTATGGTTTGATCATAATTAATTAAAATTACCAGTTAATTAGCAGCCATGCATGCCATAATTTGGATTAAGCTTTCCTTAATCAATAAGGACGTTGCCCAACATAGTTTCCAGGTGGGGAATAGTTGCAAGTCACAAACCACCACCCATTGGTGCACTGAACCCTAGCACACCCCAACTTAACCGATTTCTTCCAGACCACTTGCGTGTAATGCAAGCATTGCTGCCCACCAACACAAGAATTAGAGTTGTAATCGTAGTTAGGCTTCTCCGCCACCCACAAGTTCACAGCTGCCACGCCCGTGAACGAGCCACTCCCTTTCGCCAAGTTCTCGCCGTAAGTCCCGTTGGAATTCGAATGCACCAAATTGCAGTCACGAATTCTCGAGTTGGCGTAGTTTTGAGCATACGCCGCCACGGCGTTGTCCCACACGATATCCGGCACGTGGACTTGCGCTCGCACCGCATTGTGTGCGTTGAGGAAGTCTTGTTGTGAGTTTTGAGTATGAGAGGGATGAACTTGACCTAGTGCCATGACCACGAAACAAAGAACTGCAACCCACAACGCCATTGTTGATTTTTTTTTTTCTTTTCTGCTACAAACAATTGAGAACTTATAAGGATTAATTGTGTGAATGTGTGACATCTTATTAGGATATGCATAGGAAGAAATCTAATTGCGTGAACATTTTTTATGAGCAATATGTTGTGCTGCCTAACTTGTAATTAATTAGGGCACTTAATTAATTAGGTGCGCCTAACTTGTAATTAGGAATTAGTTATAAGTTGACATTATCTAATTATGATGTGATACGGTTACATTGGAAGTAAGTGGTGTTGTGCTGCCCTCAGCGTCTAGGCCCGAAGATAAAATGAAGCGTCGTCCTGTGACTAAGTCTAGATTGACTTCAAAGGCTCGGTACTATGAGATGTGGGGAGGAAAGTTCGTCTCTTGGGAAAGTGAAATTCGATGCTTAAGAGATGTCAATGCTTGCTTATTCTGCTGCTGCCGCACCAATGTTGGTTGCCTAGAGGAAGGAAACTACTTGAGTTTGATTTCTCAGATGTTGTAGATAGAGCAGTTGAGGATGAAGTTGCAGAGATTGGAGCTACTGAAGATAAAGTGATGGAAGTGCAACCCGCTAAAGGTGAGGTGGCTGCTGAAAAGCTAGAGATCATCCAAGAGTAGTCTACTTTCAGACTTAGAGAATTTTTAGACTCTGTTTCTCTTCGTTTGCTTTAGCTTGTGTTAGATTTTTATCAATTTACTAGAAATTTAATAAACTGCTTTCTTTGCTTTACTCCATCTTCATTCTTCGATTGCCTTGAATGTTTTTGAAACTTTTCTTGTTTGAAGCACTTGCAAAACTCTAGCCATTGAAGTGCGGTGCGGCTTTGATCAAAGCAGGCGCTCTTAGAAGGCGTGTCTACGCTGTGAGTTTTGTTTTATGGGGCGTTAAGCTGCCGCATTCATAGGGCGTTACTACCCCTTGACCGGGTGATGCTGCCGCTGCCAAGCTGGTCGTTGACTTCATTGCTCGAACGAAAGTAGTGTGAAATGAGAACATGTTTGTGTGACTAAGGCAAGGTTCCATGGGTAGTGTATTTAAAGCTTATAAGATCTTGTACTTCACAAGGGCGAAGTGAGTGACACGATGAAGTCTCTCATAAGTTGCCTAAAAGTTGTACTACACTTGTAATTTGAGGTCACTAATCCTTGAGTTGCGTAGCCCGTAGTGCAACATGATAAAACTCTGTATAGAGACGAAAATCGCTAACTAGTCACATAAAATGTGTCCAGTTATATAGAAATTTGTGGTCAACGATTTGAGGAATGCACTGCACTATATGTCACCAATCCCTTGAACTGCATAGCCCATAGCACAACATGATAGAGTTCAGTGTGGACACGAAATTCGCTAACTTGTCGCAGCAACGTGTGCAGTTTTATGAAAATTCGTGGGCAACAATTTAGGGAATGTGCTACACTTCTTTTATCATGGATCCCTTGAGTAGCATAGCTCGTAACACTGTTAGACAAATAAGGAATATGGTTGGAGTCCTTGTGTAATTGTATATAATATTATTCACTAGCCGTCCTACAGCCGTCAAGTCGTCCTACAGCCGTCCTACCTTGTCCTACCTACACACTAGCCATCCTACAACCGTCAAGTCGTCCTACAGCCGTCCTACCTTGTCCTACCTACACACTAGGACGACTACCTTGTCCTACCTACACACTTGTATCATGTATATATATCCTTGTAATCTTGTAGAGAAAGATAATGAGAAAAAAAGCATTCTCTTCCATTTTTCCACATTCACGTATCAATAACAAATATATTTTTTAGCCTACATACCTTTTTCTACATGGTATACAGAGCAGGTTTATAACCCTAGCCCTAATTTTTTTTTTTCGACAGCTTTCTCTGCCGTTCCCATGGCTGACTCTTCTTCTTCCGATGGTGTTTTTTCCCTTCATCATTCCGACCACCCGAATCTTGTCCTTGTATCCAAGAAGTTGAATGGTGATAACTACACATCCTGGGCCCGTGGCATGCAGCTTTCCTTGAGTGCCAAGAATAAACTTGGTTTCATCACTGGCGATATCCAAGAACCTTCTTCCTCCGACGACCCTGATGCTCACGCGGCTTGGCGTCGTTGCAATGACACGATTCTCTCTTGGCTTCTGCATTCCTTGGAACCTGACCTTCAAGAATCTGTGTTTTTTTCCACCTCTATCCAAGCTGTATAGGATGATCTTCGCGAACGCTTCTCTCAGAGTAATGCTCCACGCATCTTCCAACTCAACTGGGAACTTGCTATAATTTCTCAAGGTTCTTCTTCTATCTCCGCCTATTTTACTCGCCTGAAAGCTCTCTGGGATGAGCTTGCTTCTTATAATGATGGCTGCACGTGCTCTTGCAACGCCAAGCATGACCGTCAACAACTCATGCAATTTTTAATGGGCCTCAACGAATCCTTTGCTGCTGTTTGTGACCAGATTCTTTTAATGAATCATCTTCCCACTGTTCGTCAGGCCTGTTCCTCGGTCTCTCAAGCTGAAAAACAACGCTCCCTGGGCGTCCTCCGCTCTGTCGATCAACTTGCTGCCATGGCTGTTCGTGGCCCGTCCCGTCCCTCCTCTGCTCGTCCTCCCCTCCACTGCACCTACTGCAATTTTGATTATCATACCCGAGACACCTGCCATAAACTTCATGGCTATCCCGTTGGCCATCCCCTCCATGGCCAACCGTGGCGACCACCGCGCCGTGCCACTGCTTCCAGTTCTTCCCGCAGCCATGCACCTTCCAGTCATCCCCGGCAGCCACGATTTTCTGCTTCCCGGCCCCATAATTTCACCCAGGCCCATCACGTGCAAGGCACCCAGGCCCCCGCCTCCTCTTCTACTCCAGCGACCCACCAAGTGCACGGGGCCCAGCCCACTTTGCATGACTTGCAGCTTGCCATGCCTGACCTCTCTGCCGAGCAGCACTCCCGTGTTCTAGCTGCTCTACGTGACACCACCACCCCTCCTCAGGCCAATGCCGTGCTCACTACTGATTTTGCCCAAGGTTTATTACATGTCACCTCTCGTCATGGTCAATGGATTCTTGACAGTGGTGCTACGGATCATATTACTTCTTCCGCCTCATGTTTGGTTAATCGTTCTCCTTCACATTTGCCGCCTGTTTCTTTGCCTAGTGGTGTTTCCGCTCCCATTACTTTTACCAGCACTCTTCCTTTAAATTCATCAGTTACTTTGAAGGATGTTTTATGTGTCCCTAATTTCCGAGTGGACCTTTTATCGGTTGGTAAACTTACAGATGGATTATCGTGTTCCATAACCTTCTTTCCTTCTTGGTGTGTTTTGCAGGACTTGGTTTCGAAGGCGATGATTGGTGTGGGTAAGCGACGTGGCGATCTGTATTACCTTGTGGCCCTTACCTCTTCTCTCCCCACCCGTCAACCTCTCTGCAACATCATTACCATCCCCTCCTCCCTCTGGCATAGGCGTCTTGGTCACCCCTCATCCACTCGTTTGCAAGCTTTAGCATCTAGCTCTCTTAATTGTACTTTTGATTCTAGTCATATTTGTGATGTTTGTCCGTTGGCAAAACAAACTCGTCAACCTTTTCTTTTGAGTTCAATTTCATCAACTTTCCCTTTTGCTTTAATTCATTGTGATATTTGGGGCCCGAATCGTCAATCTTCTCTTTCTGGTGCTCATTATTTTTTAACCATTGTGGATGATTTTTCTCGCTTTATGTGGGTCTTCCTCATGAAACATAAATCCGACCCTCAACAATTAATTAAGGATTTTTTTGCTTATGTCACTACCCAATTCTGCACTATCATCCAATGCATTCGTACTGACAATGGTGGTGAATTTTTATCTCTTCGTAGTTTTTTCTCTGATCATGGGGTGCTTTTACAAACTTCTTGTGTTTATACCCCCCAACAAAATGGCGTTGTTGAAAGAAAACATCGTCATCTTCTTGAAACCGCTCGCGCCCTTCGTTTTCAATCCCATCTTCCTATCAAGTTTTGGGGGGAATGTGTTATTACCGCTACTTATCTCATCAATCGTCTCCCTACCCATCTTCTCCATCATAAATCCCCATTTGAGGTTCTCTTTTTGAAAACCCCATCTTATGACCACTTCCGCGTCTTTGGTTGTCTGGCATATGCCACCTCTGTCACTCCCACCACCAAATTTTCCCCTCGGGCTCATCGTTGCATTTTTCTCGGTTATCCTCATGGACAAAAGGCCTATACCCTTTACGATCTCGACAATCACCGCATTTTCACTAGTCGAGACGTCATCTTTCACGAAACTACTTTCCCTTATGTCATTTCTCACCCTCCTATCCCATCCTTTTCGCCTACCCTACCCATCCCACCCCCTCTAGACTTTACATATAACCCACCCCTTCCTGCCTCGATGCCTCACCCTCCTCCACCTTCCTCCCCTTCCACGCCTCCTACAGATTCCCTTGCTGCCCCATTACCCGTTCCTCCCCATGCCTCTTTACCCACGGACATCCCTACCACCCCCCCCCCCCCAAACTACCTACCAATCCTCCCCTTCCCCGCACCTCTTCCCGTGCCCATAAACCTCCATCCTATTTAAAAGGCTACGTTTGCTCGCAGGTGATTTTGCCATTCCACCCATCTTCGACTTCGCAACCCGGTTCTACACAAAGTACGCGATATCCACTTTGTAATTTTCTCTCTTATCACCGTTACTCTCCCAGGCATTTTTCTTACATTAACTGTGTCAGTCGAACTGTGGAGCCTTCCTCCTTTGCCGAGGCTGCCACTGACCCCAATTGGCAACGTGCTATGACTGAGGAGCTTCAAGCTTTACATGCTAATGGTACTTGGACTTTAACTTCCTTGCCCCCTGGCAAAATTCCCATTGGTTGTATGTGGGTGTACAAACTCAAGCACAATTCCGACGGCTTTATTGACCACTACAAAGCTCGTTTGGTTGCTAAAGGCTTCACTCAGGCTGAAGGTATTGATTATCATGACACTTTTTCTCCTACTGCTAAGATGATTACGGTGCGTTGTCTTTTTGCTCTTGCTGCTAGTCAGTCTTGGTCTCTTCATCAGCTTGATGTTAATAATGCTTTCTTACATGGTGACTTACATGAAGAAATCTATATGTCTCCTCCTCTTGGTCTTCGGCGACAGGGGGAGAATCTTGTGTGTCGCCTTCACAAGTCACTTTATGGTCTTAAGCAGGCTTCTCGCCAATGGTTTGCCAAATTCACTAGTGCCATCATTTCTGCCGGTTTTCAACAATCCAAAGCTGACTATTCATTGTTCACTAAAAAGTCTGGTATTTCTTTCACAGCTTTGCTCATTTATGTGGATGATATTGTGATTACAGGCAATGATGCTAGTGCCATTAATTCTCTGAAGTCTTTTCTCCGTGATCATTTTCGGATAAAAGACCTTGGTGATTTAAAATATTTTTTGGGTATTGAGGTTTCTCGTTCCAAACAAGGGATTTATATTTCTCAACGCAAGTATGCATTAGAGATTCTCAAGGACTACGGTTTTTTGGGAGCACGACCCATTGCTTTTCCTATGGATGACACAAAATTATCTGATAAAGGAGAACTTCTCAAGGATCCTAAAAAGTATCGACGATTAGTAGGTCAGTTAATATATCTCACTATCACTCGGCCGGATATCACCTATTCTGTGCATGTTCTAAGCCGTTTTATGCACGAGCCAGGGATATCTCATATGGATGCTGCGCTTCGTATTGTTCGTTATTTGAAGGCTACTCCAGGTCAAGGTTTATTATTTCGTTCTGACAATCAAACCAAGTTAACTGCGTTTTGTGATTCTGATTGGGCAGGTTGCCCTATCACTCGCCGTTCGACTACTGGGTATTGTGTATTCTTGGGCGGTTCTTTGATTTCTTGGCGGACGAAACGACAGAAAACCGTTTCGCTCTCTTCAGCAGAGGTAGAATATATGGCCATGGCAGGTGCTTGTTGCGAGATAGTTTGGCTTCGTTTTTTGTTGAAGGATTTGAA